ACTGAGGAAGGAAATAGCAGAGGATGTTAAAGATGGAAATCATACCATGCTCGTGGATCGGCAGCACTCAATATCATCAAATGTCTATACACCCAAACTGATCTACAGATTCAATGAATACCTATTAAAATCCCATCAGCATTTTCACAGATATAGAAAAATATTTTACGCTTCGTATGGAACCAAGAAGACCCGAATATACAAGAGCAATTCTAGGCAACAAAACAAAATGGGAGGCATTAATATGCCAGATATCAAACTATACTACAAGTGTAGTAATAAACAAATATGGTATTGGCACAAAAACAGGAATATTGACCAGTGAACAGATCTGAGAATCCTGATATAAACCATCCTCATATAGCCATCTCATCTTTGACAAAGCAGGACAAAAACATACGCTGAGAAAAGAACTCTCTTCACATAAATGGTGCTGGGAAAACTGGATAGCCACTGTAGAAGGCTAAACAGGACCCACACCTTTCACTCTCACAAAAACCAACTCACGCTGGAAACAGACTTAAACCTAAGATATGAAACTATTAGACTCTAGAGGAGAAAAGTGGAAACACTCTCCTAGACATCGGCCTGGGCAAAGAGTTTATGAAGAAGTCCCCAAAGGCAATCACGCAGCAACAAAATAAATAAATGGGACATGATCAAACTACAAGCTTCTGCACAGCCAAGAAATAGTCATGAAAGTAAAAGACAACCTACACGAATGGGAGAAAATTTTGCATCCTATGCATCGATAGGACTGATAAGCAGAATATACTTAGAACTCATGAAAATTAGGAAGAAAATCAAATAACCCATCAAAAAATGGGCAAAAGACTTGAACAGAAATTTAAGAGACAGAAAAAGCCAACAAACATATGAAGAAATGCTAACATCTCTAATCATCAGGGAAATGCAAATCAAAACACAATGAGATATCACTTAACCCCAGTGAGAATGGCCTTATCAAAAAAATCTCCAAACAATAAATGCTGGCGTGGTTGCGGAGAGAGAGGACATCCTACACTGCTGGTGGGACTGCAAACTAGTTCAACCTCTGTGGTAAGCAATATGGGAAGTCCTTAAAGCGATACAACTGATTACATTTGATCCAGCAATCCCATTGCTGGGCATTCTACCAAATGATCAGTGACACTACAAAAAAGACACCTGCACTCGAATGTTTATAGTAGCACATTCATATCGCAAGCTGTGGAACAGCCCAAGTGCCATCAATCCAAGAATGGATTAATAAATGTGGTATGTATACCATGGAGTATATTCAGCTCTAAGAAACAATGGTGATATAGCACATTATATTTTCCTGGTTAGGCTGGAACCCATACTACTAAGTGAAGTATCCCAAGAATGGAAAAACAGCACCAGATATATTCTCAGAAAACTGGTATTAACTGAGTAGCACTAAGTGGACACATAGGTATACTACAGTAATAGTATTGGGCAGGTGAGGGGGAGAGGGGAGGGTGGGTATATACATACATAATGAGTGAGATGTGCACCATCTGGGGGATGGTCATGATGGAGACTCAGACTTTTGGGGGGAGGGGGGAAATGGGCATTTATTGAAACCTTAAAATCTGTACCCCCATAATATGCCAAAAAAAAAAATAAATAAAAAATAAGCAGTAATATTTTGAAAGGAATCTTTTTTTTTCTGAGAAGTCTCAACAATGGGCTTAGAATATTCAGTGAACTATGCTGTGAACAGATATGTTATCATCCAGGCTTTGTTGTTCCATTTATAAAGCACAGGCAGAGTAGATTTAGAATAATTATTAAGAGCCCCAGGATTTTTGGAATGGTAAATGAACACTAGCTTCAACCTAAAGTCACTAGCTGCATTAACCCCTAACAAGAGAGTCACCCTGTTCTCGGAAGCCTTGAAGCCAAGCACGGACTTCTCTCTAGCTACGAAAGCCCTAGATGACATCTTCTTCCAGTATAGGGCTGTTTCATCTACATTAAAAATCTGTTGTTAGTGTAGCTACCTTCATCGATGCTCTTAGCTAGATCTTCTGGATAACTTGCTGCAGCTTCTCCATCAGCACTTGCTGCTTCACCTTGCACTTTTGTGCTATGGAGATGGCTTCTTTCCTTAAACCTCATAAGCCAACTTATTCTAACTGCAAACTTTTCTTCTGAAGCTTCCTCACCTCTCTCAGCCTTCATAGGATTGAAGAGAGTTAGGGCCTTGCTCTGGATCGGGCTTTGACTTAAAGGAATGTCGTGGCTGGTTTCATCTTCTTTCCAGACCACTCAAACTTTCTCTGTATCAGCAGGAAGGCCGTTTTGCTCTCTTATCATTGGTGTGCTCACTGGAGTCGCACTTTCAATTTCCTTCAAGAACTTTCCCTTTGCATGTACAACTTGGCTAACTGTTTGGCACAGGAGGCCTAGCTTTCAGCTTATCTCAGCTTTCCATGTGCCTTCCTTACTAAACTTAATCATTTCTAGCTTTTTTCGATTTAAATGGATTTTTCGATTTAAACTCTTCCTTTTACTTGAACACTTAGAAGCCATTGTGGGGTTATGAATTGACTTAACTTCAATATTGTTGTCTTTTGGGAACTAGGAGGCCAGAGGAGAGGGAGAGATATGGGGGAATGGCTGGTCAGTTCCAGAAACAATTACAATAGGAACAGCAAAGATCTGAGCACAGACCACCATAACAGATATAATAATAATGAAAAAGTTTGAAATATTGTGAAATTTGTGAAATATTGTGAAATATTGAAATAATATCATTGAAATAATGATATTATATCATCATGAAATAAATGAAATAATATCATTTATTGTGAAAATTGCCAAAATGTGACACAGAGGCATGAAGTGAGCACATGCTGTTGGAAAAATGGTGCCAATAGACTTGGTTGATGCAGGGTTGTCACAAACCTTCAATTTGTAAAAAACATAGTAACTGTGAAACGCAATAAAGTGAAGCACAGTGAAACGGGGTACGCTTGCAATGGCGTAATTGTAGCTTTACAATGTGTTTTAGCGACTGGTCTTATCCATTGAGCTTCATCAGTTTACATTTTCAATTTTCCATGTTACAAGTATTTCATATGAACTTAATGCTAATTTGTTAAGTCACAAAAATAAATCCATTATTTTTATCATAAAAAAATTTTTTTTAAATACACAAGAGAACAGTAAATGTGTTTATGAAGCCCTGTATACCTATCATCCAGATTCAACAATGAACACTTTACATTTCCTTCATGTATAACCCTACCCCTTATTTGGATAAAATATTTTATTTTATTTTATTTCTTTCTTTATTTATTTTGACAGAGTCTCATTTTGTTGACCAGGCTAGAGTGAGTGCTGTGGCGTCAGCCTAGCTCACAGCAACCTCAAACTCCTAGGCTCAAGTGATCCTCCTGCCTCAGCCTTCCAAGTAGCTGGGACTACAGGCATGCACCACCATGCCCTGCTAATTTTCTCTATATATTTTTAGTTGGCCAATTAATTTCTTTCCATTTTAGTAGAGATGGAGTCTCGCTTTTGCTCAGGCTGATTTTGAACTCCTGACCTTGAGCGATGCACCGGCCTCGGTCTCCCAGAGTGCTAGGATTACAGGTGTGAGCCACCATGCCTGGCCTTGGATAAAGTATTTTAAAGCAAATCCAACACATCTTATATTTTACTCTTAAATACTTCATTCAGTATGCATCTCTAAAAATTAAAAACATTTTCTCACATAATCACAAAACTATTGTCACACCTAACAAAATTAATAGTAATTTCTTTCTTTTTCTTATTTCAAAAAATTTAGGGGGTACAAGTGTTTTTTGTTACATGGATGGATTGTGGATTCTTTCAGTGTACCTGTCATCAGAATAGTGTACATTGTACTCAATAGGTAGATTTTTATGCCTCAACCCCTCCCACCCTACCCCTCCTTAGTTTTCAATATCCATTACAGCTCTTTATGACCATATATATCCCTTGTTTAGCTCCTACTTATAAGTGAGAACATGTGGTGTTTGTTTTTCTATTCCTGAGATACTTCACTTGGGATAATGGTCTCCAATTCCATCCAAGTTGCTTCAAAGACATTATTTCATTCCTTTTTATGGCTGAGTAGTACTCACCACTCATCAGTTCATAGGCACCATTCTATTTGCATTGTTTTTCTTCTTGTCTCAAAAATGACTGTACAGTTGTTTGAATCAGAATCTGAACAATGTGCACACATTGCATGTGTTGGAGTGTCTCTGAAGTGTCTTTTAATTTAGATCAATCCCTCCAACTCCTTTTCGTCCTCCTTTTCTCACTCCTTCTCCTTCATGCTACTTACTTGTTGAACAAAACAGATGAATTGTCCTTTAGAATGTCCCATGTTGCTTCTCTGTGATCTCTTTCATTTTTTTTGACTTTCATGTTTCCTGTAGATGCAGATTAGCCGTAGAGGCTTGGTGAGGTTCATGCTCAACCACAGCAGGAGAAATGGAGGTCTGGCCTACCCATTTTTCCTGTCGTGAAGACAGATTAATGTATTTTATGTGATGTGCCTTACTCGTCACATTTTAAACTTGTGTTTTTCCACATATGGGTGATGATACCACATCCCATGAATGAATGATCATTGTCAGAATCAATTATTTAATTAGGGGTTGCAAAAGCCAATGTGTTTTGATTTTAATCATATTTCAGGTATAAATTATGCTGGCCAAGATGGTCATCTTGTGGAGACTTCCTGTCTGGGGAAGGGCATATCTTTTAAAATTCTCTTTTATTGTGGAAAATTTTAGCTTGTTTATCCATAGCTTTTAAAATGTCATGTAGTAGCTTTATAGATTTTTTTCAGAAAATTTCTGTACATTTCTAGGTATTTTATTTGTAGGTATTTTATATTTCACTTATTTTGATAATGTTGTAGAATTTCTTTTTTAACGATTAGGTTGTCTTAGTTAATTTGAGTTGCTATAACAAATTACAACAGACTGGCTAGGTTATACACAACAGACATTTATTTCACACAGTTCTGGAGGCTGGGAAGTACAAGATCAAGGTGCCCACAAATTTGTCATTTCTGATCTCTGACAGAGTCGTCTAGCTGTTGTCTACACATGGCAGAAGAACAAGACAGCTTTCTGGGGTCTCTTTTATAAGGGCACTGATCTCATTCATGGTGGGGGGTGGGGTCCATTCATGCAGGTGGGGAATGAGCATTGGGCAGAGAAGGAAAAGCTAGCCACTGGGGTCTGGACTCTTTGAGACTCTTCCCTCTCTTTAAGGAAAAGGATTTCAGGACCATTCCTTCTGGGGGCTCGCTTCTTGTCCCACTTGTCCAACATTCCAAGTGTCAGCACCCTGAGGGACAGGTGCCATTTGACCGATTCCTGGAGGTAGAAAGAACACAGCATAAGAACTGAGGATACTTGTGGAGGGGGACGAGCCTGGAGGCCTGGGCTCCCATCCTGGCCCCAGGGATGACCTTGACACATCTTCATCCTCATTTCCCCCTTTGTGCAATGGAGATGTTCAGACTTGTTGATCTTTTAGGGCCCTGCCAACTCTAACCACCCCTCCCCACACCAGCTAAAAGCACTAATTCCTCGGTGCTTTCATGAGCCATACAGAGGCAGGGGGAGTGAGAGCACCAGGCCTGGTATGCAGGGGCTCCTTACCTTCCTTTCTGTTCCTCTCAGGACTCACACATTTGTAGCTACAGTGCAGGAAGCAGCACTTCTTGTCTCCAGGGCAGTCATTATCAGAATGACACTGGGATGGACCGGACTTGATGCAGCTTCCTTTCTCCGCCGGACAATTTCCCCACTTCTCTTTACCTGGTGGAGGAAGCCACAGGTTGAGACGAGGGCTCCAGCACTGCCCGCAGTCCCAGACGGCCCCTCAGCGCCTCTCCCTAGCCCAGCCCCACCCAGGTCCACCATATCCATTCACCTCCTTTGACTGCTTCCCCGGGGGTCAGGGTCGCAATGACCAGGAACGCTGTAAGGACCAAGAAGCAGAGAGTCTTCATGTTGCCGGGAAGGTGCTTGACTGGGAGCTGAAGCTGAGCCTGCTTTTGTATGGTCCAGGCTGGGCATGCCAGTGGGCGGGGCTGGAGGTTGACCAATGGCAAGGGAGGGCTGCACTCCCCACGCCAGTGGGCGGGGCTGGAGGTTGACCAATGGCAAGGGAGGGCTGCAATCTGTAGCTGAATCAGGAAATGTCGACTTTTCCAGGGAGGGGGTTGGGGCTCTCCCCGAGGTCTCCAGGCTGCAATACAGACATCTGAAAGCTGGCCCTCTTTCTTCACATGAGAAGACCTGATTGACCGTCAGGCGCTGTCAGGACCAAACTGTCTGACGAAGAAAAAGAGGCACAGGAAGGAAAATAAATCACTTAGGTTCACACAGCCTGGTAGTGTTTTGTTTTGTTTTTAACTAATAGCCATCTTAACAGCTATGAGGTGATATCTCATTGTGGTTTTGATTTGCATTTCCCTGATGAGTAGAGACATGGAGCATCTTTTCATACACCTATTGGCCATTTGTATGTTTTCATTGAAGAAATGTCTATTCGAGTCCTTTTGTCCATTTTTAATTGGGTTATCGTGTATATATTTTTGCTATTAAATTGTAGTTCTTTATACATTTTGGAAATTAACCCCTTATATTTTTAGTGTATAGCAACACAGTTGACTTTCATATATTGATTTTTATGTCACCTAAATCACCTTAAGAATGTGTCAGACTATATCTGTAGATTCTGTTTTGTTTCCATTAGACCATTGTATCATTTTCAAAAATTGGCCTTTCTCTTCTTCCCTTTGAATACATATTTCTTTTATTAATATTTCTTTCTCTTGTCTTACTGCATTGGATAGGACCTCCAGTACATTGCTGAATAAACGTGGTGGTAGTTAGTGTTCCTGATCTTTCAGGGAACACCTTCATTCTTTCACTATTAAGTATGATGTTTTCTGAAAGTTGCTGGTATATGTCCTCATTAGTACAGTGTGACAATCAGAGTTCCTCAAAAGTGATTCTAGGAGGTTCCCTGGTTGCCTGGACAAAAACTACCTGGGACCTAATGCCTATATTTTTCCTATTAAGAATCTGAGGATCTGAACTAACATTTCCATGGGACGTATTATTAGTAGTTTCCTCCCCTGGCTCGGAGGAGCTGATAATTTGCATGGGCCCAAAGTCTGTAGGTGTTGAAGAATTGCCTCTGCTGTGAACAACTGGCACCTTGAATCCAGACTGTCTGGAAGGCAGCCCCACAAGGAGCTTCTCGTGTTCATATTATAAGATGGTAGAATAGCCGGGGGACAATGCTCCTGTTTTGCAGTAATTCTCAAAAGGTGGTTATTTTGCTCCCAGGGGACTTTGGCAATGTCTGGAGACATTTTTGGTTGTCACAATAGGGGCAGATGTGCTTCTGACATCCAGAGTCTAGAGGCTGGGGACACTGATAAATATCCAACAATGCACAGGGCAGCTCCCCACAACAAGGAATTATCTGTCCCCAAGTGTTGATAGTACGGAGGTTAAGAAACTCTGTTGTCCTTCATGACCATGTGACTATGAGCTAGCTGTACATGGCCTCAGAACACCTCAATGTGGGCTGACGGGAGTACTGAGGTACCAATGCCTTAGCTGATCCTTAGCTTGCTGGTTTCCCCCAATAAAGCCTATTCCTTAGCCTGTGCTGTGTGACCTTGTGGAATTTATCCCATGTCCTGCTAAATCAGCTTAAGAAAATTCTCTTATTTCTAGTTAGCTAAGAATTTTTCTCATGAAAGATGTTAAATTTTATCAAATTCCTTTTCTGTATCAATTAAGATAAATATATGAATTTTTCTCCTTAGTGTGTTATTTTGTGAATTATATTAATCAGATTTCTATGTTCACAATTTTTTATTAATGTGCTTCAATAAGTGGAAAGCCTCGAACCAAAGTGGCCTAACTAAAAACAGACAAGGAGTGGAAGCAAAGATATATTTTTCCTGAACATGGAATATATACCCCCAAAAATCATTAGGTTACAGAATTGCACCCACTAAAGATAGTAGAACTTATGGGAAAAATAGGGTTGAAGTAGTAGATTCAAAACTTGTGCATTCTCATAAGTAATAAGTCAAACAAACAAAACCCACATCCAGTGAAAATATTATGGTTTTAAATATTTTTGGTTCTAAATAAATAAATTTCATAGTAAATATAGCACTTTGACAAAAGATAGACAGTTTGCTTGGTGGGAGTAGGTATGGTAAAATACATGGTTTTTAAGGTATGGACAAAAGGTGAAATGAAAGACATTGTCATTCGTAGAAGTCAACATTGTTATGCCAGAGTCATTGGCCTCTTTTACTTCTATGCTAGTTTAAAAGAGAAATCCGCTTTTGTTGCTTTGCCAGTTCCTTCCTTTGATAAGGAAGCTGTATAACTCTAAATGAAACTGTGTAACTGCAATGTTCTGTCCTGATGCTCTTGACATTCAAATCTTGACCTTTAATCCACTGTTTACTACTCTTAATTGAAGCTGACAATAACTGATATATTAAGGTCACTGGCATTCTCATCTCTGATGCTGGGAACGTCTGGCTCATTGTTCTAGTGATAGCACATGTGCTCATTTCCTTCAAAAGATTGTATTATTTCAAGCTTCTCCTCAATATTTACCGTATTACTTTAAAAAATCGTTATCTTGAATTCCTGGTTCCAGGAATTCTATCAAGGAGAGAACACAACTCAGGAGAACAGCACAGTACGCACTTGTGCACAGCAATTCTTAAATGTAAACTGAGATAAGAGGGAGGAGATGAAGTGTGTGTGTGTTGTATATCGCTCCAGAGAAGTCATGTTCATTTGTTGGCATTCAATTGGTATTACACGGCAGCACAGGACAGTCACCTTATGACAGACTGTGTATGTTAACACAATTTTATATTCTGGTGATTTTATTCCTAATTTATCCATCATATATGAACACATTCTGCTCATTACAGCACATCAACAGTTGAGACTCTGTGTGTGTGTGTTATCTTTATGTCAATGGCAGGCTAAGTCACAGTAATATTTGTTCTGACATAATGTGCCTGGCTGAACAACAAAAACTGAATCAATGCCCGCATTAGAAATTGTGGGACACTGAAAAATTTCATTCCTAAGACTCAGGAAACCTGATCCTCCAGGCCCCTCCTGCACCTTCCACTGAGCTTGACAAAAGTGCAAATACTTCCTTAAAGGAAAATAAACCAGAAAGCAGTTATGACTACTCTTTAGCTATTTATTTTCTACTTTTTAATAATATGAAATTCAATTTTAAGTATTATCAAAATAATATAAATACATAGTATAAAATGTAAAGCATAAAACCAGAGAAATCTCCCGTATCATTTCCATTTGCCCTGATTCCTGATACCCAGAGGTAACCACTTTCAGCTCTTCTAGCTCTTCCTTTTTTTTTTTTTTTTTTTTTTGAGACAGAGTCTCACTCTGTTGTCTCAGGTAGAGTGCAGTGACCTTATCATAGCTCACTGCAACCTTAAACTCCTGGGCTCAAGAGATCCTTCTATCTCAGCCTCCAGAGTATCTGGGACTACAAATGTGCAATGGGCTGATTTTTCTATCTTTTGTAGAGACACAGTCTTGCTCTTGCTCAGGGTGGTCTCAAACTCCTGACCTCAAGTGATCCTCCCCATTCAGCCTCCCAAAGTGCTAGGATTACAGGCATGAGCCACCATGCCTGGCCAGGATTTCCTTCTTTTTATGGCTGAATAATAGTCCATGGTGTGTATCTATTACATTTTCTTTATCTATTCATCTATCAATGAACTTCTGCATGTGGCTATCCAGTTTTCCCTATTTATTAAATAGGGCATCTTTTCACTAGTGTATGTTTTTGTCTGCTTTGTCAAATCCCAGTGGCCATAGCTATATGGTTTTATTTCTGGGTTCTCTATTCTGATCCATTGGCTTATGTGTCTAGCTTTATACAGTATCTGTTTTGGTTACTATAGCCCTGTAGTATCATTTGAAGTCAGGCAATGTGATGCTTGCAGATTTGTTCATTTTGGTTAGCGTTGCTTGGGCTATTTGGGGTCTTTTTGAGTTCCATATGAAGTTTAGGATTTTTTTTTCTAGGCCCATGAGAAATGACATTGGAATTTTGATGGGAATTGCATTGGATAGGTAAATAACTTTAGGCAATATGGACATTTTAACAATGTTGATTTTTCCAATTCATGAGCATGGGATGATTTTCCATTTGTTCATGTTACCTATGATTTCTTTCATCAGTGATCTGTAGTTCTCCTTCTAGAGACCTTTCAAATCCTTGGTTAAGTATATTCCTAGGTATTTTATTTTCATGCAGCTATTGTAAATGGCATTAAGTTCTTGATTTGACTCTCATATTGACTGTTATTAATGTATAGAAATGCTACTGATTTGCATACATTGATTTTGTAACCTGAGACTTTACTCAATTTATTTATTAATTCTAGGAGTCTTTTGGTGGAGTCTTTAGGGTTTTATAATATAAGACCATATCATTGGCAAACAGGGATACTTTGACCTCCTCTTCCCAATTTGGATACCCTTTATTTCTTTCTTTTGCCTGATTACTCTGCCTAGGACTTCCAGTACTATGTTGAATAGAAGTAGTGAGCTTCCTTTTCTTGTTCTGGTTCTTAGGGTAATGTTTTCAACTTTTTCACATGCAGTATTATGTTGGCTGTGGGTTTGTCATATGTGGCTTTTATTATTTTTAGGCATATTCCTTCTATGCCTACTTCGTAGAGGGTTTTGATCATGAAGGTTGCTGGATTTTATTGAATGCTTTTTTCTGCATCTCTTGAAATGATCATATGATCTTTATTTTTCATTCTGAGAGATTAGAGGTTCTAGCAGGGGAGCACAGCTACTCGTATACCCTTGACCAAAGAATGGTCCTCCTCTTATCGGGAAAGGTCACCCTCTTCGACTGAGCATGCAGCTTTGGGAGGGACACATATAGAGTGGTGAGGGAAGAAGGGAACACCCACCTAGCCAGCCAGATTGGCCCAAATCAACCGTGGCACTCAATGGGGTGACAGATGTCACAGCCAGATCTCCCTCACGTCCTGTTTTTC